CTGTGATTTTCAAGCCATCAGGCTTGGGATTTGAACCACAGTCAGCTATATGACAGTCCAGTGCCTTAGCCACCATACCATCTGCTAGGATCTTGTTTTCTAAACAAAAAGAAATGATGCTGTAGTAGGCCTGTAAGAAAAATATTTTCCTTCTGTGAAGCCATAAGCCACCCTTTACAAAACCGTGTGCTCTACCTAAATAAAAGCTGCTCCAGATGTAAAAGAGACGTTCATATACTCATCACTCCACACATATTTATTGGTCACTGACTAGGAATTAAAGGATAAGGAATACGACACAATCCTTATCCCGTAGGAGACTATGTAATTACGAGGAATATAGACATGTATAAAGTAAATGATCATAAAAATAGAATGAACGTCAGTTTTAGAAAGGTGTATAAAATATTCCCTTCATCATCTACCATGCACAAGATTGTGTACTACATGTAATGGGGAGAAGAATATCGGTAAACTCTCCAAAGCTGGAAGTCCATATGGCTGCTATTTCTACAACTGCTATATTTTCCTTGACTCTTGGTGAAAAGCATAGCGAAAGTTTATAAAAGGCATGGGATACTGTGGGAACATTAAAGAGCCAGTGTATCAGAAGACTTCGAGCTGCCTCTGCAACCACAGACCAGTAATGGAGCCATCATGCTTTGTGAGGCTCAATGGGCACAAGTCAATTCTTTTTTCTCTCTAGGAAGACAGGCTTTCAGAAAAAAATGTAGTACCCTTTCTCATAGAAGACAGAGACAGGGTATTACGGAATCAGGATATTATGGAATCATGATTATATGTCTTCATATCTGGTGGCTGGTAGATGATTGCTGTATTTTCAGAAAGAAGCGCGGGGGTTATTAGTTCACTTGGTTCTTGCACAAGCGAAATGAAGTCAAAGTTCTGAGCTCAAATGCCACATGGATCAATTTAACATGGTTCTTATTTGTGGCAATAGGCTTTACATATTTTTGAAATTTATTTATTTACTTAGTTTTATTTGACCAGAGAGGGACAGAACAAGAGAGCCAGAGAGAGAGAGAGGGCGAGGAGGGAGAAAGCAAGTCGCCAGGTCCGGGACTTGAACCGTGGACGGCCATGTGGGAGTTCAGTGCCCTTAATTACCATGCCACCTGCCAGCCCCTAGGGTTTATATATTTAGCCTCAGCCACCCTTGAAAAGATGAAGTGAAGACATAGACAAAAATAGTGGCTTATACAACATAAGTTCATTTACATAATTATTAAAACTATAGGTGATAAAACAATACCATCATCTTTATCCTAAGACACAGCATGTTCTTTCCTAACATTTTTTCCTCTTTTTTTCTTAGAAAATCCAATGTGCCACTTTTATGGGGGATGAAAACCAAACTGCAGAGATCCAGTTCCATTTTTACCCATTTTCACCCATCCTGGAGGTACAGATATTTATATTTGTGATTTTCCTGCTACTGTACATTGGCAGTCTCGTTGGTAATGCCACCATCTTTCTCACTGTCTGGGCTGAGCATTCACTCCACACCCCCATGTACTTCTTTCTGGCCAATCTGGCATTTCTGGAGATCTTTTACTCTTCTACTGTTGCTCCCCTGGCTTTGGTCAACCTCCTGACCATGGGGAGAATACCCATCTCTTTCACTGGGTGTGGCACACAGATGTTCTTCTTTATCTTTCTGGGCAGTGCTGACTGTATCCTCTTGGGGATCATGGCTTATGATCGGTTTGTAGCAATCCGGGATCCCTTGCGTTACACTCTCATCATGAGATGGCAGCTGTGTGCTCAGCTGTCTGTGGGAGCCCTGGTCCTCGGTTTCATCCTAGCTTTACTACTGACAGTGCTTATTTTCAACTTACCATTTTGTGGCCACAATGTAATCACTCACTTCTACTGTGATGTACTCCCAGTCTTGAGGTTGGCTTGTGGAGATACTCGAACGCCCGAAGCCATGATCTTCATTGTCAGTGTCATCATTCTTACCATCCCCTTTTCTCTGATCTCCGTCTCCTATATCTTCATTGTGGCTGCCATTTTGAAGATCCGCTCAGCAGAGGGACGGCACAAAGCCTTCTCCACCTGCTCTTCTCATGTGACGGTGGTTCTCCTCCAATATGGCTGCTGTAGCCTTATCTACTTACGCCCCAGCTCCAGCTACAACCCGGAAATGGGCCGCGTGGTGTCTGTGGTCTACACCTTTGTCACCCCTTTCTTGAATCCCTTGATCTACAGCATGAGAAACAAGGAGCTGAAAGATGCACTAAATAAGGTAGTGAAAAGACATTTACTGTACTAGAAAATGGAGTTTCTGGGCTCATATAAAAATAGCAGACACTAATTGCTTAGAAAATGATAAATTCTGGTGTTGGATGACCTAAACATTTGAGGAATGGAATTTGCTACTTTTTTATGTCCTAGTTCTATTGTATGATAGCTTCTGACTCCAGTATAAACTTTGAAAGTAGGTTGTCATTTAAAATGCAAGAAATTTATTTGAGCAGAAATTTGTTTTGTTCACTGATTCATCCTCTGTGCCTAGAACAGTGGCTAAAATAAGTAGAAACGCCAAAAGGTTTTATTTTGGTTGCCTAGAACAGTGGCTAGCTTAGTTAGACACTCAATATGTTTTTATTGAGTTAATGGGTGATGGCAAAGAACTTTCCTGTTTTGTGTCAACTCTCCACAATGCTGTGAAGAGCTTGACATACGTGAGGCATTGAACCAAGTATTTGTAGCATAACTGAAAGGTATCTCTTCTAAGACCACTAACAGTTCTTTGTTTCCTCTCATAAACTCTTGTTTTTCTTTCTATTTATTTGGGAAATGTTTACTATGAGACAGCTTAACATAGAGAAGTTATATATATTGTCTGGTATATATTGCCTTTTAAAAAACAATCTTGTTATAGGGTATATGCACTTGCTAGAAAGGGACAGGGAGAGACAGAGTGGGGGAAAGTAAGAAATCACCCCTAAGGGGGGATGGTCATGCCACAACCCTTTCTCCTCCATTATCCTCTTGGGATTTGGGGCACACATGCACATGTGCCTGGCTTGATTTTCAAACTGCTCAGTTAGGGACTCAAACCACTGTCAGCCATGTGGGAGCCTAGCACGTTAACCATTATGCCACCTGCCAGGCCCCAAGTATTTACCATTTTTCATTTTGCTTTGTTTTGTTTTTTAAAAAAACAGAATTGGTGCTGTTCAAAATTGGAAAATATATCTTCACTGTACATTCTCTTTATTCAGAATGAAAAATGTCAGGAAGGATTTAAAGGATTAATGATTGTTTTGTCGAACTGATATGAGAATTTCCTTTCTCCATTCTTTTTTGTTGTTGTTGTTGTTTTCACTATAGGGTATGTGTTTGCCAGAGAGAGACAGAGACAGAAAGAGGAAGAGTGGGAAATCACTCCCCTAGGGTGCCACCAGTCCTTCTCTTGGGTGTTTGGACATGCATGCACATGTGACTAACCTGATTTTCACGCTACTGGGTCTGACACTTGAACAGTAGTTAGCTATCCGCCACCTTAATAGCCATTCCACCTGTTGGCCCCTCCTTTCTCCATTCTTGTTCTGTATCTTGTTATGGTTCATCTTTTAAAATATTTCCATTCATGGGACTAGCAGGTGGCATAGTGGTTAAGGTATTGGACTCCCACATAGTCGACCACAGTGTGGTTCCCAGACCCAGCAACTTGAAACTCATGCTGAGTGCATGTGCATGTGTACCCAAAATCCCGAGAAGAGAATGGAGGAGAAGGGATTGCTGCATGGCTATCTCCCTCGGGGGTGATTTCTCTCTGTCTCTCTGGAGAGCTCACACACTCTATGGCAAAAATCTCTAAACATTTTTTTCATTCATAAATATAGTACACATCTAGAAAAATTGGAAAACAGATGTGAATATAGTTAAAAAAAAGATTAAAAAAAATCCCAACTACAGATACTTTTTGGGTATTTTATACATCATGTATATTACCTTATGCAGAGTTTTTACATACTACTTTTTCCTTTAACTTATAACATAAATATCTGCCATACTGAAGTATCTTTGTAAAATATGATTTTGTTATCACATACCCATTTTTCATTATTGGCATTTAGATGGCTATACATTTTTCACTATTGTAAGTATCACTGAAGTAACTGTGCTTGTATTTAATTCAGTTCATGTAACTCTGTACATTTTTAAGATTAAAATCTCGGGACCAGCAGTTAGTGTAATGGCTATGTTGCTGAACTCCCATGTAGCCAACCGTGGTTCGAATCCCGGACCTGGTGGCTTAAACTCACGCCAGACCCGTGTGCGTGCGTGCCCAAGATCCCAAGAAGAGAATGGAGGAGAAGGGATTGCAGTGTGGCCATCCCCCCTGGGGGTGATTTCTTGCTTTCTCTTTCTGTCTCTCTCTCTCTCTGTCTTTCTGGCAAGCGCACACACCCTATAGCAAAAACCTCTCCAAAAAAAAAAAAGATTAAAATATTTAACCCCCCCTAGATACACATTGCCAAATGCATTAAGGAGGGAATATTAATTTATACTCACACCAACAATTTACATACATGTTCACCTTGTAATTTCATGGTCAACAAAGGGCTTTCTTTTCTCATTCCTTCCTTTTCTCTGTCTTTTTAAAATGCTTTCTACTCTTTGTCAATTTGTTGTTGTATAATGGCACCTATTTATCTGATTTGCATTTACTTGTTAATCTAATCCTTCTTGTTACATATTTTATAGCCATTTGTAATTTTTTTGGTGGATTTTTCAAGGCCTCTTTAAAGTTTTAGGATTGAGTCTTATATCTTAGTATTTTATATGAACACTTTCTATAATATATATGGAAAATATTTTGTAAGTTTTTAATGGTTTTATCTATATTCGTATATATTTATCCTTCTAAAATACAGTATTCACATTTTTGTTGTGTGATTTTTCCAGTTTTATAACAAATACATTCTCAAAATTCTTCCTGAAATCATACACATATTCATTCATATTTTGTTTTGGCAGTTTATCTTTTTTTAGAATTATTTTATTAAGTTTTATTTATTTATTTAAATTTGAGCAGAGAGGGACAGAGTGAGAGAGAAGGAAAGTGAGAAAGCCAGCTGCCAGGTCCGGGACATGAACCGCAGTCAGCCATGTGGGAGCCCAGCGCTCTTAACTACCATACTATCTGCTGGCCCCTTGCTGCTTTTCTTTTACTTTTTTTTTTTTCCAGAAAGACTTTTGCTATAGGGTGTGTGCACTTGCCAGAAAAACAGAGAGAGAAAGAGAGAAGTTCCTTCCTCCCCACCCACCCTCCCCCAGGGAATGGCCACACCACACTTCCTTCTTCTCTAGTTACCTCTTGGGATCTTGGGATTTGGGGCACTTGCACACACACACCTGGCATGAGTTTTAAGCCACCAGGTCCACAACTTGAGCCGTGATTGACTATGTGGGAGTCCAGCATTGTAATCATTTTACCTTTTGCCGGTCTCAAAATTTCACATGATCTTATTTGCCACTTTAGAATTCATTCTGTATGCTATGCTATGAGACTTTGGCTTTCCTACCAAGATACATAACTGATTACTTCAGCATACTTTCCTTTTTTTTTTTTTTTAAATAATTACTTATTTACTTTTTATTATTTTTATTCTTAAATTGACCATAGAAAGAGAAAGAAAGCAAGCTGCCAGATCTGGGACTCAAACCATGGTCAGCCATGTTGGAAGTCCAACATTTTAACCATCATGCCACTTGCCAGCCTTACTTCAGCATACTTTTCAAATCATGTTTCCACAGAATTGAGAGGTCCTCTTTATTGCATACTAATGCATATTTATGTTAAGCACTGTTTCCTGGCTGCTTACTCTGTTCCATAAAGTGTGTTCCCTGAGTCAGTATATACTTTTACCAATACCACATTATTTGTATCACTGATGCTTTATAATCATTTATGTCACAATATTAGAACTTGCCAGAAAGTGTGCCATTGGTCAAAAGTTTTGGAGTGTGCTTTCAAGTAGGTTGTGGTGGTTTTAAAATATGTCTACAAATTCTCGTCCCCTCCCACCTAAACTCTCTCTTACAAAGTGGAGCCTAAGAGCTCTCCCTTTGAGTGTAGGTTGCATGTGATCATTTATTTCTCGGACTCACTCTGTAGCCCAGCAGTCACACACTGCTCAGGAGAAGCCACATTCACAAGGTGACTGCCATTTGAATCCCCAGCCTGGTTGATCTGAAACATGTCAGCACATATGTGAGGGTCCAAGTTGCAGTGGACTGGGAGACTGGGAAAGGGCAGCTTGGTGTGACCAGACTTTGTGGAGGGTGCTCATTTTCTCTCTCTCCATCTCTTTGTCTCTCACTCTCATATGCACATTATCACGAATAAAGAAGAAAATTAGAGAGGTAAATCTTGAAAAAAAATTTAACTCTAGCTCCTAGAATGTGGCAAATGTTATAGTGTTTGACTTCCGATGCTGGGTCATAAAATATACCGTGGCTTTAGCATCTTTATATTATTCACTCGGGGAGAAGCTACCATGCCCTGAGGACAATCAAGAAGCCCTATGGTGTTGTCCATGTAGTGAGGATCTACGTCTTCGTACGAACTGTCAGTGAGGAACTGATGCCTCCTTCCAGAAGCCATGTACGTGAGCCATCTTGGGCACAGATCCTTCAACCCTCGTCAAGCCTTGGAGCTCCAGCCAGCATGTTCACTGCACTGAGCCAGGAACACGCAGCTAAGCTGCGCCTGATTCCTGACCTTCTAAAGCTCTAGGAGATAATAAATGATTTTTGTTTTGAACTTCTAAGTTTTAGGGAAATTTTGTATGCTGCAATGGCTGAAGAACATAGAGTGTTGAGGAGCATAGCACTCAGTGTCTTGGGAGTGATTGCAATAAACACAGAAATCACTGAGAAGCTGAGTGTTAATGATTCATGTCAAGATTCATGATGTTGTGGCTGAGAGGGCCCCTCTGGGTGCCAGGTATGGATTATATGTACCCTCTCAGTGGTGGTGGCAGTGGTGTCTGAGGAGCATATGCCCCTGAAGCGGCCACGGAGCTTAGTCTGTAGCAGGGGTGTGCATAAAGCAGCCACAGAGCCGAGGTCTGGAACATTAGTTCATGAAGAGCGGCCATGGCACTGAGGTTTGATGCATGTGTGGTGTTAGAGGGAGGGCAGTCTTTTCCCCAGGGTTTTACAAAAGTACCTCCTCTGCATGGGTTACAGAAGTATCTCCATCTCCAGTGGGTCTTTGGAGACAGTGGCTGCTGTTTAACTCAGTGTCAAAAGCTGTTTGCCATGGAACATGTTCTTAGAGTTGGTGTCACTGCAATATACAGGGTCCACTGCTGAGGAAGTTGCAAGAAGCCACTGGCTCTCCCAGGGGCTGTTCTTTCATGGCAAATGCTATTGGATTCTCCAGAATTCAGGTCACAGGGGACTAAGATGGCACCGCCTCAGAGCTAGTACAGATATCTCCCCCGCCCTTCTTCTTTGACCCTAGCTATCTAGCTATCTCTGCCAAACTGGTCTCTTCAGTGATCCTCTGTGTTGTTATTCTCATTTGTAACAACACTGTGTTGTTATAGGCTCTTAATTGAACTCTTGAGTCCTTTCTGGGATATTTTATTTTTGAGTACCTGTTTCTTCTCTTTCTTTTCTTTTCATTTGTTTTCCTCACCATGGGGATAAAGGCTAGATCTCCTGCTCTGCCATCTTGTTGACCTCTCTCAGCTCATCAGCAGTTTCTTAAAGGGCATTGCATTCTGACTCTGCTGTATTTTTAAAGGCATGACACTCACTCAATTCTTCTATTAGGTATTTGGCAATAACTTCAAATTTATATTCGGTAATTATGTATTCAATACATTCTTTTTTTTTTTAGAAGTTTTTGCTATAGGGCGCATGTGCTCACCAGAGAGACAGAGTGAGACAGAGAGAGACAGAGAGACAGAAAGAGAGAAATCACCCCCCAGGGGAGATGGCCACGTCGCAATCCCTTCTCCATTCTCCTCTCGGGATCTTGGGCACGCATGCATACGTGCCTGGCATGAGTTTAAGCCACTGGGTCCAGGACTTGAACTGCGGTCGACTACATGAGAGTCCAGCGACATAGCCATTGTGCTAACTACTGGTCCCTCAATACATTCTTAAGGGGCTTTTGGAATTAAAAAAATAGTTGAATACTCTTGGATGACATAAAAATCCAATGTTGTCAAAAGAAAATTTTGTTGCATTGTTCTACATAACAGTCTAATATATTTTAGAGGATATTTTGTCTCAATATATCATGTATTTTATACAAATTTGTAATGTTTTTATATCTCACATCCACTCAAATTATTTTTGTCCAGATTAAGCTTGTTTGGAATGACAAAAAAAGCTAACATCCACTTCATGCATCCAGATCAATGTCTATTATGTTTTAGGTCCTCAAAAAAGACTATCTTTGGGACCAGCAGATGGTACAATGGTTACAGTTGATTGTGGTTTGAGTCCTGGACTTGGGGGCTTAAAGCTCACACTGGGTGAGAGTGTGTGCTTGCTCAGATTCCGAGAGAATGGAGGAGAAGGGATTGGAGTGTAGTCATTATCCCCCCTGCAGGGTGATTTATTGCTTTCTGTCTCTCTGGCAAGTCCACATGCCCTATAGCAAAAATTTCTCCCTAAAAAACAAAACAAAACAAAACAAAACAAAACCAGTATCCAATCACAAAGTCTCTCCATAGTTTAACTCCTTTTATATTACAATATTAATTTTTAAAGTTTTTTAATGAGGAGAGCACCCTCCACAGTATCTTGTTGCACCATGATCCCCTCCCCCTAGCCTTCCAGCTACTCAGGATCTTGGATACAAGCCTGTTCAGCATGTTTCAGATAGACTCACAGTCCAAACTTGTGGTAGGCTATGTGGCTTCTGGCACTACAGAGCAGTATGCTACTGCATACTGGAGGCTGGGGCTGAAATATTAATTGTTCACTATATTGCTTGTTTGTTGTGTGACTTGCCAATATGTTATTTAAAACGGAAATTCTGAGCTAGATGGTGACATCACAGTAAAATGCAATGTTCTGCAAAACTGATGCATATCGGGGGACCAGCAGTTAGCGTAATGGCTATGTTGCTGGACTCCCACATAGTCGACCGCGGTCTGCGTCCTGGACCCGGGGGCTTAAACTCATGCCGGGCACGTGTGCGTGCATGCCAAAGATCCCGAGAAGAGAAAGGAGGAGAAGGGATTGCAGCGTGGGCATCCCCCCGGGGGGTGATTTTTGCCCTATAGCGAAAACCTCTTAAAAAAAAAAAAAAAAGAGAGAGAAGAAAACTGATGCATGTCGGAATTTTTCTAGCTTGTACCTAGAGACTCCCTGAGTACCCTGGGCAGGTGTGCCTATAATTTGGGTTGGCTGAAGCCAGGGGTAGATCATGGCATCAAGATCCTGTAGGGGTTCCTGCCTCTGCCTCTCTCACTCGTGGGAGAAATAAAATAAACTTCAAAACCAAACCAAACACAGAATTCATAGGCATGATATTGGTGAGATGATAGAGATCACTTGACTTCTACAGACACATTGAACAGGCAGCTATACGTGGGTCAACTCCTTCTGAGAGAAATTCAGAAGCTAGTGTAGAGACTTCTGTACACTAAGAAACTGAAAAAAAACCAAAAACCCACACTGGAATGGGTTAGAACATCTGAAACACACTGGCACCACAAACCCAACACTAAGCACAACACCTTGCCATTGTGAATGAACCTTCGTCTTCTAGCTTCTTCCTGCCAGAAGCAAAATGTTTGGAGGATAGATTTAGCATCCCAAGTTTTACCACACAAGATATTAGCTAATAAACCACCTAGCTCTGGAAGCCGTTGGGGACTGACACTTTCAAGTCCCCAAGGACCATAGGGAACAAAGAAATAGTTCTCCATTCTCCCCTCAGGATTTTGGGCATACATGCAAACACACCCAGATTGATTTTCAAGTTGCTGGATCTAGGACTTGAACCATGGTTTACCATGTGGGAATCCTCAACTACCTCAACCACCATGGCTACCTGCCAGTCCCCAAAGAGATAGTTTTAAATGTGTGTATGAACAGATTCAATGGGCTCAGCATGGAATCCAGTTTCTCCCACAGACTCTATATTTCCCTAGCTGGTGCCCAAAGGTTGGGTTTCTAACTAGCATGCACCTTGGAGCCAATAGTGCAGGTAATTAATTGTCATCAAGGAGCTTAAAGGTCACATGGGCACTTCTGGTCTTTTTTCCCTGGTTTTCTCCAACAGTAAAATTAGCTTATCCCTGGAAGAGTGTGTGTGTATATTTCCCCACCCCCGCCACACACACATTGAGGCAACTCAACTTTTTTTTTTTCCTTCCAATAAGGCATGTACACTCCCCAGAGAGATATAGAGATGAGAGAGGGAGGGAAAGTGAGAAATCACTCACCAGGAAGGATGGCCATACTGCAATCTTTTCTCCATTCTCCTCTTGAAATTTTGGGCATGCATACACACGTGCCCAGTGTGATTTTCAAGCCGCCAGGTCCAGGACTTGGAACTGTACAGTCAGGCAGCCATGTGGGAACCAGCTGCCTTAACCTCCATGCCATATGTCAGCCTGCACCCCAATTGTTATAGCTTTTACTTGAGGGACTGGCTTCTATATCTCCTAGCACTAGTAGCTACAGGAGCTCAGCACTCATATGAATACCTCAGAGCACTAATGGGACTTGGCACATTCTAGCCTCCTGGGGCCCAATAAGTGCACAGATGGCAGTTTGGACAAGCACAAGAGTTTGAGAGGCACCCAGAATTTCTGGCCTGAATAATTGGTAATTTATCTTAATGATGAACACAAAGCCAGATTCTCAAGACTGGGAGAAGTGGGTATTTTATCTAATGAACAGAAATCAACATAGAGAATCAAGGAAAATGAAGAAACAAGGAAATATATTATAAACAAAAAACTAAAATAAGTCTCTATAAATGAATACAATTTAAAAATAAATTAAGTTTTTGTCATAGGGCACATGTGCTCGGTGGAGAGAGACAGAGAGAAACAGAGATGTATATAGAGAAAATGAGAAATCATCCCCGATGCAGTATGGCCACACCACAATCCCTTCTCCTCCATTCTCTTCTCAGGATTTTGGACATGCACATACACACATGTCTGGCATGATATTCTTTTCTATTCTTTTTAAAAAAATGTATTTATTATTATTATTTTAATTTTCTATAGGACACATGTGTTCACCAAAGAGAGAGAAAGTGAGAAAACAAGCTACCAGGTCCAGGACTCAAACTGTGGTCTGTCATGTGGGACCACCAGGTCCAGGACTCAAACTGTGCTTGGTCATATGGGTGTCCAGTGTCTTAGCTACTGCCACCTGCCAGCCCCATTGATTTTCAAGCCACCAGAATCAGGACTTGAACTGTGGTCAGCCATGTGGGGGTCCAGAACCTTAACCACTGCTCCACCTCCTGGACTCTTCCCAATCCTAATTTTTTAAAAAAGGTTTTTATGTATTTTTTCTTTCTTTTTTTAAGAGAGAGATTTTTGCTATAGGGCTTGTGCACTCACTGGAGAGACAGAGAGACAGAAAGTGAGAAATCAACCCCCCCGCCCCCGGGGAAAGGCCACATCGCAATCCCTTCCCCTCCATTCTCCTCTAGGGATTTTGGGCTTACACGCACATATGCCTGGCTTGAGTTTGAAGTTGCCAGATCTGGAACTGGAACCATGGTTGACTACGTGGCAGTCCAGT